AGACTTTGCTTTGACTTCCACAAGGGTGTCATGGCATACATGCACATGTACACACACACACACACTGAAGGGACCAGCTACCCGTTTTGGCAGCCATGACAGCCTAGCACATGCTTACCTGACCTTGCCTTGGTTACTAGGAGGTCAGACGCCTGCCTCGTGGCAAGGAACCAATCAGAAGTTAGCTGGTGGCGCTATGCTTTATGGCTCTGGGTGTGCTTTATGGACAAGTGAACAGCAATGACACACAGAGCATAACAATTGCCCTGGGAGGGCCTATGGGCCATAACAACCAGTTGACCAATCAACACAGGGCAAGCCTGGACGCACAACAATCCTGAGCCTGTGCGTACCCCTAGACACTCCCCCTACGCTGCCCTATAAGATCTCTATGCAGTGGCTTCTTGCCATCTTTCCTAGCCATCTGCCATGGTGGAAGGATGAAAGTCCTGAGCTAACATGGGGTTAGCTCGTTAAACAACTGCAATAAAGCCTCGTGCTGTTTGCATCAAGCTTTTGCCTCTGCCCAGTGATTGGGGTGACCTCAGTACTGGACCGAGATCCTGGGGGCCTGAGCTTCCAGGAGTCTTTCAACACACACACACACACACACACACACACACACACACACACACAGAGCTATTGTGCAGGAAAGGAACTTTGCACTTATCTATTTCTGAGGATTTAATAATTGTGTCTTTGAAGTGATAGGAGACAGATTAAGAGAAGGAAAGGCTATTTTATTATATGCATGGGTGAACCAGGGGAAAGGAATGTGAATACCTCTAAGCCTATGAGACCTGGAAACTTAAGAGGATCCCGGACTACAGACAGCAACAGAGGCATGGGCCTTCTTGAGGAAGGGGTTGATAGCAAGCTGTGAGAGGGAGAACCGGAAAAACTAGAGGTGTGCAACTATCTTGTTATGAACAAAAGCTCTCAAGTAATGAGAGTTGTCTCAGAGAGGCCCTGTCAGAAGAGCACTGTCAGTCGGGCAGTGGTGGTGCACGCCTTTAATACCAGCACTTGGGAGGCAGAGACAAGTGGATCTTTGTGAGTTCGAAACCAGCCTGGTCTACAGAGAGAGTTCCAGGACAGGCTCCAAAGCTACAAAGAAACCCTGTCTCGAAAAACCAAACCAAAACAACAAAACAAAAAAAATAGAAGAGCACTGTCAGAAGTCCCTGTCAGATGGTCTCCATCACACTGTCTTGTGACCATCTGAGCAAGACAATGACCTCCTGATTCTGGGCTCCCTAGTTGAGGCAACTCCCAGGAGAGAGGATCCATGACCATTGTTTCCTTTTTTTTGGAAGAGCCATCCAAGGGAGATGAAGGAAACTTGAGAGAAAGCCTCTAGTAACCTCAGTAGAAAATAGCATCCCCAGACTTTACTTCAGGATGCTATTTCCTGAACTCCTTCACTGTCAACTAGTGGACTTTGGCCTATTTGTACACCAGCCTACCCTGACTGTGCAGGAAGGTGGCCACCCATCGTCCTGTGATGGTGCACAGGGAGGCTGCACATCTGGAGGAGGCATCAACCATGTTCCCTATCTGGTTGCAAAGTCCCAGGAGAGGATCACATAAAGGAGACCACACCATCTTTCTAGAAGGAAAAAAAAAGCACAAGTCTATGGATCATTATATCTAAATGCACTTTAGAATCACCCCCAGACAATATAAAGAGTAGAGCCTTTTGCATATCCCAAGCAAGACTGAAAGTGAGGCCAGGTATGGTGGCGGCTCACACATATAATCCTAGCATTCAGCAAGCTGAGGCAGGGGCACTGTATTGAGTTCAAGAAAAGGTCAGGCTATAGAGTGAGAGTCTGCCTGAAACAAAACCATGTAGTTGGCATTTTCTTTGGGCTGACAACCAGCTACCAAATAAAGACACAGAGACATTAATTATGATGCTCAGCCTTAGCCTAGGCTTGTCCCACTAGCTCTTTTAACTTAATTTAACCTTTTTCTATTCAACTACAATTTGCCTTTTTACCTTTTCTTCATTCTGTACATCCTACTTTCTTGTTTCCTCTATGTCTGTCTGTCTGGCCCCGGTATCTCCCTGTGGTTTCTTTTTCTTTCTCCTCCCCACCTCTTCCCAAGCCTAAATTCCTCCTCCTACATACTCTCACTGCCTATACCTCCTCCCTCACTATTGGTTGTTCAGTTTTTTACTTGACCAATCAGATGCCTTAAGCAAAGTAAAACAGCAACACATCTTTCCATGATTAAAAACCAACAACAATAACAACACATCTTTACATAGTTAAACAAATGTAACACATGTTTGCACAACCCAATCAAAACCCAACCAAATGAGGCTGTCAGTGAACTGTCCCCTCTGTTCTTAGAACTGCGTTTTAATTAAGGAATCCTCAAGATGATGCTGACACTGAGACTCAAGAGGACAATGTATAAGTTCTTACATGCAAAATTCCTTGCCAAACAGCTCCATACCTACTCAAACATTTACCTCATTTTTTTTTTCTGAGACAGGTTTTCTCTGTGTAGCTTTGGATCCTATCCTAGCACTCGCTCTGGAGACCAGACTGGCCTCAAACTCACAGAGATCCGCCTGCCTCTGCCTCCCAAGTGCTGGGATTAAAGGCGTGCGCCACCAACGCCCGGCTAACATTTACCTCATTTAAGCTTCTTTTCTAAGCCACTTTTTATTTTGTATGACTCTTTTGACTGCACGCATGTCTGTGCACCATATGCATGCCTGGTGCCTGCGGAGGTCAGAAGAGGGCATTGGGGCCCTGGAACTGAAGTCTTGGATATTTGTGAGCCATTTTGTGGGTGCTGGGTACTGAACCTGTGTCCTCTGCAAGAGCAAAAGGTGCTCTCAAATCTCTAAGTCATCTCTTCAGGTCCCTTTACCTCACTTTGGAAGTCTCCTAGCTTGTTCACACCCCTGTTCTGCTGCTGCCTAAGTAATGCTGCAACACCCCCAGATCATAATTACAACAAAGGTTTCTTTCTCACCTCTGCTTCAGTTCTGCCCCCTTGTGCTAAAGAATATAAGAATGTAAGACACAAGTCCTGGCTAGGCCTGGTGGTTTACAACCTTCAGAAGTCCCTGCACTTGGGAGGCAGAGGCAGGCGGCTCTCTAAGTTCGAAGCCAGTCTGGTCTTCAGAGCCAGTTCCAGGACAGCCAAGGCTATGTAGAGAAGAGACCCTATTGTAAAAAAATAAATAAAAGGTCCCGGAGTAGCTGGAAAGGAGCAACAACACAGCTGTGAGAGGCACTTTCACCCATGTTCTGATGGCCAAGGCAATTCATATAGTCAAGTATGAATCAAGGCTGTGAGGAGAGGCCCTTTGATGGGGCATTAAACAGCTCTGTGGCAGGCTGAGCAGTTAAATATATACTCTTTCACACATGCTCATTTTTTCCCCCAACGACTACAATTTTATTTTTTCAGATATTCAGAGGACCACTGGTTGTTTTGGCTTGATAAACTGTGAGTGAGCTCTCTCTAATGTCTACACTGCTATGTAAGTTGTATTTCCCTAAGAGTGTGTGCCCTTTCTGAGCAAGTCGGTAATAATTAAAACACGGGGAACTAAGGAGGGGACAAAAAGGACACCATAAGTAAACATCATGTTGCAAATGCTCTCATTAGCAGAGTGCTGCATAGCTTGGGGGAAGTTGGATAGATGGAGTACAAGGACACAGAATGGCTACCCAGATTTCAGGAACCTGGGGAGTTCAATCCATTTAAAAACTTGAACGTTTTTCTGGCCTCAAAACATACTTTCTTGTGCCTAGGGCTGGGCCCCTAAAGGAAAGAAATGGGAAAGAAAATACGAGGAAGGGATTTCCTTTTTTAAATAACTGTGCATATGGATGGGGTACAGTGTGATTTTTTTACTCGTGCATGTAATTATTCACTATTAAATCGGAGTAATTAACATTTCTCCTAGTGGGAAAAAAAAAGTGAGATTTAAAAGTAAGGGAAGGAAAGAGGGAAGCTGAGCGGTTGAGACAGCACAGATCCACGGAGCAAGTAAGGAGACAGGACCTACTAAGAGAAAAATGGAGAGGAAGAAATGACTCAAACAGAAAGCTCTGTAACTTGAGGAAAGGGATCTTACTGGCTTTCCGTTTACTCCAAGCCACCTGTCCCTAGCCTTGCGTGGGCTGGTGTTGGAAATGCGGAGGTCAGGCACGCCGCCTGCCGGCTGGGCGAGGCGAGGGCAGCGGCGACTCGGCAGGGCCAGACACGCGGACACCCTCGGATGGCGGGTCCGGGGACAGGGTTTTGCAGTTGAGGATGAAGGGAAGGATCTTAGAAATGTGGTCGCGTCGGCAGGATGGGTGTAGGGGACGACGCGAGCGCCCGAACGGGCTGCACGTGGGCCGGGGGGCCGCACGGCCACTCCCCACCGCACCCGCGCCGTGGTAGAGACGTCGTAGTGACTTTCCCACCTCATGGCCACAAAACGGACAATGACCTCGCTTCGTACCCTACTCTGGGGGAACCAATTTCACCCACTAACTGTCCACTTTTAAAGATAAGCTCGTCACGAGG